CACAGCTCCCACACACTGATAGGGTGCAGCAATTGGGGCTGGAGCCCTCAGCAAGTGTGAGCGGTGGCTGCTGGCCCTGATCACCCCTAAGGAGGGGGAAAGGGGGGATGGGGCAAAGGGTGGAAAAGTCCTCAGGAGCAATCAGGGTCGGCAGACACTGCTCACACCCACTGATGGCACTGAGCAATCAGGACCGATGTCGGCCACCGGCAGTGGGCTCAAGCAGTGACTCCAGCAGCAGCAAAGGGTGTGAGCAGGGCAGGCACTGGTAGCAGGTGTGAGCCCTGTGACCATGGCACACAGGAGCAAAGAATTTTTAGTAACCAGCAGAGGCTCACTCTGATGACAGTGACAGGTACCCCACTTTAGTCTGGTGCCCCTGCTCACCTGCTCCACCATCCCACCCCAGCCAATGCCCACCATGTTCTGCGCTCTGCCACTTGCTGCCCATGCCCACCGTGTTCCACACATGCCTCTTGGTGGTCAGCGTACATCATAGTGACTAGTTGTTCAGTTGTTCCCTCATTCGGTCTATTTGCAGATTAGCCTTTTATTATATTGGATTATTTTTGATGCCTTGCATCATGATATTCTGTATTCTTGGGCAAAACAACAAATATATTCAGCCCTAAAATAATAATAATAATTTTTTTTTTTTTTAAAGGCTTAAAAGAGTTGGAGCAGCTAAGTGAGTCGATGATATGCACTGGACTCTCCAGCTGGCTGGTTTTTTTTTTTCTTTTTCTTTTTTCTTTTTCCCATCACCACTGTGACGTTTGCACCGAAGTTACATCTGAAGCATTTATGTTTTGTTTATGGTCCGATGAGAAAGTAAACGCTCCAGGGAATAAAGGGCACCCAGGTGGGATGTCTTTGAGAGATGTGAACCATCATAACATGTATTTAATGAACTGCTATTACGAGGTGGAATCACAGCTACTTAAAATGGCAACATATTTGCACATTCTAACATGAGATTAAAACAACATACGCTTGACCACTTACACTCATTCTTAGGTTGTGTTCTCCCTTTCAGTCACATAACGTGAAGAATGCAAACAGCATTTCTCTTGAGGATCTTAGTGAGACATAAAAACGTCTACAGAGGAGACACTGGGCTGAGCACCGCATGCACCATCGGAGCAGCTGCATGATAAGGCACAGGGAGGGGGCAGGGAGCACAGGTAGGCGGGCTGCAAGGAAGAACCTCAGTTCTCCTGAACTTGCTATCAATTACTCCTTAACTGCTGACAGGGCTGTGACTCCATGCATTTCTCAGGAAAATGGATACTAATATTAACTACATAAATACTAGAAGCCCAGTGCACAGATTCATGCACCAGTGGGATCTCTTGACCTGGCCTGTGGGGATCAGCCAAAACCGGCAGTCAAACATCCCCCAGGGGTCCGGAGTGCAAGAGGGCACTCTGCCAAGTTGCTGTCGCCAGGCAGCTGCTGCCTTGAGTGTTTGCCCCCTGGTGGTCATTGCACATCATAGCTACCAGACAGCTGGCTGCCGGTTGCTTTGGCTTTTATATGTATAGATACACCTCAGAGTGATGTATCATTGGTGTTTAATACAAACACAGATTTACATCCCCTCAAGTTTCAGGAATACTTAGGATACAATTACTTCATCTCAGTGGAGGTCAGAAGACAGTGTTCTGTCTGAGGCCCAGGAGTTTCAAAGGGCTCTGTATATGGGAAAGTCAGAGGCCACCAAAGGGTACTTTCTGGCCTCCTTGGCTTCAAAACTGGGTTGTTCTCACACCCAAAAAATCCAACCCTGAGTTCCCTGAGCTCAGTGGCTCCATTGTCTTGAGTCCTGTGTTGGACTGCTCATGAATGTTTCCTTCTTGAAAGCTAATCAGTGTCTCCACGAGTAGAATTTATATATTTTTTGTGTCCCTCAAGCCCCCATATCATTCTTCCCTGAAATAGTAGTGCACACCTGGGAATATAAGCATTTCTAATGGATAAAATAGTGATGTCTTTACTTCTTCAACCCTTTGAACCTATCTTCTTTTCTACTCTTGTCATTCAAGTCTTTTAAATGTTCCAAAATTTTTAATGCCTCATGCCCCCAAACTATTAGCAGCTCATAGAATATAGTAATCATTCTTATTTGACCTATAATACACACACACTTTCCATATCACTATGTTTATAAAACACACACATATAACATAGTGAACATTCTGATTTTACCTATGGCCATTCTCATGAACTATTTTAAAAATCAAGAAACTGTAAGAGCAAAATGGTAAACATCAGTAATTTGTTGTCCTTGGTAAAGATAGCCTAAATGAGTATAAACCATAAATTCATGTATGTAGCCATATTAAAAATATTTTTCTCTAAATGAAGGTATTCTGACACAAACCACTCGTGCATGTTGAGCCCCTGAAGTTGTAATGCATTTCTGAAACACATTATAATCTTCAAACCTAAATATACCTCTGATTATAAAACAAATCCTGCCATGAGTATGCAGATCAAAGGGAAAGTGCTCTTGATATATTGCTGTTCAATTCGGGCCTCCACATCTTCTGCAGAAATCTCCCAGAGGTACTGCAAAGCCATTATCTTCTGCTACATGCTAACTCTTCTAGTGTAACTCCAGTAGCCTGTGTAAATCCTGGATTATAAATCACTGTTGCGATCTATGCCCAGGAATCCGTCTACTGGTATTGTTGATGAGAAGGATTGGAGGGGGCTACACTGAGCAACATCTTTGAGGTTGACTGATCATAAAATTTAAATATTTCCAAAACAATGAGTGAAAATGTTCAGCACTTCTTCATTCAACATGTAGAAAACTAGAGAAAATTGTTATGTTCTTTTAAAATGAAGCCCAGGTAGGTACCTACTTTTCTTATCATCAGGCTCAATAAAGAGTGTATGAAAAGCAATTGTGAAAATCTGTAATACTTTAAAATTGTATTATTATTATTATTATTATTATTAGTTTTTGCTTTGAATACTGCAAGCCTAACTCTTTGTTGCCTGCCTTAATATCCCTGTGCTTTTGGTTTCCATTTATCTCCCTGAATTTCAGTGTTAATTTATTCTTAAGTCACTGTATATACCCTGGCTATTTGATCTCATCGTCACTTACCTCATATTGATAGGTCAGACTGTTTATTTCTTCTAGTGGATCCTGTACTTGAATTTTTAAAACTGAGGTCACTCAGGGTAGTCTCCACAGGACTGACTCCTAGTGTCCTTGCCATTACATTCCTATATGCTTATCAAAAGATAATATTTGATAACAATATGAAACTATATGACTTTCTAATTTTGTTTTCCATTCAGCAAAATTTGGAACATTTTAGCTTTTACTTGAAAGCTGGTTCTCTTTTCCTTGTCCTTTTGTTTTTGTTTTTTCTCTTCTTCTTTCTCATATCTTGTAATTTAATTCCCTTTCATTTGTCCCTTCCCCAGCTCTTTCCACTGCTTATTCCTCTGCCTTTTTCCTTGACCCCTGTTCTCATACCATTTCTCTTCTCTTTGAATTACTAGAAGAAGACTGCTGCATTTTCCTACGTACACCTGAACAAAAGCCACACCGAGTGCTCTTTGTAGGAACTTATGGTGGATGTGTAGGTGAAGGGCAAAGTTCACATATAACCTTGGCCATTGAGATGGTGTGGTCATTGAGATTTTGTTGTTATGTTCAGCACTTCTCCATTCAACGTGTAGAAAACTAGGGAAAATAGTTATATTCCTTTAAAATAAAGCCCAGGTAAGTACCTACTTTTCATTATCATCTGTCTTTGACAGATGAAATATGGGGCACACGAATATTTTTAACATGGAATGGAAATTAAATAGGAAAAAAGAAAAGGAGAGAACCTTATACTTAATTTTTGACAGTTTATAACAACAAAAATAAGAAAGCATTTCACCGGTGGACTTTTCAGTATATATATAATTTTCAGTATATATATATATAAAATCAACTTAATATACACCAATGGAGGACAGATTCCAAATAGTAAACTTCTCAATATCCTTCAAAATATAGCATAGCTTTTCACATACATCAGGCACCTCAAGGGGGTTTGAGTGAACTATACAAATCATTATGAAATTGATCACAACCCCCCAAATAATTGACTAACATTGCATGATATTACTAAGAAGTTAATACAAATGAATATGATTGCATATGGAGATACAGCACCTACACCAAAAAAGAGAAGAAATTACATGAAACTGGAGATACATACAAATATGTAAGAGAAAATTATATGAAAACACATATAAAAAGTTAATTATCTAATTAATTTGCAATCTTAGATAGTAATTTTTTAAAAAATCAAGAATATCTTCATTATTTCCCAGAATCTAAGTTTCCAGAATTGGTTATAGTGAACACGCAACCTGTGAGCAGCGGTGCAATTAATATTAATAGAGAAATATTGACTGATGTGTACTTGCGTAGGTCATGTTATCTGACCTCCACTTCTGTGTCTCTGAAGTGACTACTTAGTTGCCTTCCCATCCGCCGCCTCTGCAAAGATGCTCTGCAAATAAATGAGGTAATGTTTGCAGCTAGGGAAGGAAACCCGTCGCATGCTCTCAGATGTTATTACTGTTCCATAGTCAAGCCTGGCATATCCCTGTCTCTGTTTTAAAATTGAAATCGGGCTGTTGGAGTCCTTGGGTTCTGACCAAAATCTGGGTCAACATCAGAAAACGATTATTTTTAATTTCCATTCTGCGGCTCTGCTCTGATCCCTTGCACGTGTGAGGGGGAAACCGTGGAAAATAAACAAAGCACATCAATCAAAAGCGGGGGAAAAATATCCGGAAAGATTTTTATTTTATTTTTTCCAATGACGAGCGTGAACACCGTGTTTCTCTGGAGGAATATCTGGCCTAGGAAGGCGGGTAGCGCGTGCAGGGTGAGTGCGCGCGTGTGTGCTTGTGTGCATGTGTGTGTGTGCCGTGCGTGCGCGCCCGCGGAGAGGGGCGGGGGCGGCGGCGGAGGAGGATGAGATCATAGTTTCAGGATCCTCAGGAAACCCTGGTACTGGCAGCAGCCAGCCGCTGCTGTGCCCACATGACCCACAACTCTGGCAGCGGACCGGCACTTCCAACATTATTAAATAATCGGAGAGCGGCTCTGCGCCCTGCCCAGACCGCCCTGCAGACTAATGGACACCTTCTAGGAGTTTGGCGAGTCGGGGACGAGGCACCGGCCCATTCCAAGGTGTGTGCGAGGCGTTTTCCTCCGTGACAGCTCGGGCGTAGGGGAGGGCGCGGGGCGCGGGGCGCGAGGTGCGGGGTGCGGGGTCCGGGGGCCGCGAGGAGTGGGCGCGGGGCTGGGCTGCTGCGCCCGCCCGCCCGGAGCCGCGGCGGGAGGCGGGGATGCCCGGGAGCCCGCGCAGCCCCGCGACGCAGGGACCGCAGCCCCGGGCGGGCGGGCGCCGGGGACACGGGCTCCGCTGCTGCGGGGCGAGCGCAGGCGTGGCGCCCCCGGAAAGTCAGAGGAGTGGAAGCGCTGGCGAGCGCGGGGTGGAGGTGGTGGGGGCCGGGGAGGGGGCAGGGGATCGCCCCAACGCCCACTCGCGGGGTTCCCACCTGCGCGCCGGCCGGGCCGCAGGGGGCGCGGAGCGTGTGCGGCGCTGCAGCCCGGACTGCGGAGGGAGGGCGCCGGGCCGGGCGGTGCCTCGGGCCCGCGGGCAGCGGGGCGGCTGCGGCAGGAGCTCCGGGCGCGGGCGCGGGCCGCGCAGGTGAACCGCTGCCTCCGCTGGGGCCCCGCCGCCGGCTGCCCGGGCTCCCGGGCGGTGGGAGCGGCCGCGGGAGTCGCTGCGGGCTGAGTTGTTTTGTTGTCATCGCCGTCCTCTGGGTCATCCTGGAGGCTGAGCTGGTGGGAGTGGCGTGGCCACCTCCACTGGGGATGGCACTTAGGTGGGGGGCACAGTGACGGGGGGAGGGCTGGGGCCGGGGAATCCGTGGCGTCTGTGCGCGTGGCCATGCGCCGCGGTGCGCGGTGGCTGCGTGGGAGTGGGCGCTCCTCCCGGGGCGCGGGGGCGGCGGGGCGGATCCGGTGAGGATCCCGCATCTGTCGCCTGTTGCCCACTTTGGAGTTTTCCACTGGACAGAGAGGGGACTGGAGGTTGGTTCTGGCACCCCAAGTGGGAGGCAGAGAGGTGTCTGTCTGAGGACCAGCCTAGAGGGGAGCGGAGGGGTGGCCAGGCGGTGCTTGGGTACAACTGGGTAGCACCACTTTCCCTCTGGCAGACTTGGGGTCTGGCTTTGAGGAGATCCGTGCAGAACTTAAGGGGGAACATAGTGAATGTACACTTTGGAAGTAAGCACCATGAGATTCATTCTTGCTCTTAAAAAAAGCCTTTGGAGTTGTTTACCTTCAAGGGTTCCTGTAATCAGTTATGGTCACTTGGTATTTGATGTGTGTTGTGTGTTCTTTTGAATGTAACAATTACCTATATTGTTGAAGTACAAAGAGTTATTAATTTATTTTACAAAAACAAAACAAAACACCACTTATATTGTTTATTCCAAAGGTAGAAACTTTAGAAAAAAACAGCTGTCCACAAATTGCATGCACAGTTCTATGTTCTTTAATTTTATCTCATTTAATTCTTATACCACCATAAAGGGAAGAGTAGCTCATAATAGCATCTACCTTGTACAGATGAGGAAATCCACGGAGATGCAAAATAACTCACCCAAGGTCATACAGTTATGAAATATTCTAGCCAGCTGGACTTTTGCTGTACTCTTAACCTACTAATCATATATATATATATATATATATATATATATATATATTCATACATATATATATATATGAACCCACTGTACCTAAAGTCTATATTTGACATATTTCCCACATCTCTACCAAGATGATCCTCTTAGTTATGTGCTACATGTTGGGGGCAATTAATTTTTTCTAATTTTAATACTGTAAATATGGCAACTATTCTTTGAGTAGTTTCCTTTTGTCATAGTGAACCAAACTTCCTATTCAGTTGTAGATTAAAGTAGTATTTATAAGCACCATCAAGCTTTTCAGCAGTTAAGATTCAACAGGAAAGTAGATCATAAAGCAGATAGCTGAATCTATTTGTTGGCACTTTGCTCAAAGCGTGGTCCTTATTTTCTTCATAATACCATCTTGCGGAATTTTTTGGTCAACTTTAATAATCTTTCATCCAGTCACTCTGGAAAGAGGTTACGAGGCTTTAAAAGAAGACTTATGCCATTCTCTTTCAACTGTCTGTAATTTAAAGCAGGCTGTATTTTGAGGGGGTTCATGTATGTCATGCCTTTACCAATGGTAAACACTTATACAGAGTTATGGAGCAATGAAGACTGAAATCAAATTTTCTCATTATTCTAAGTTGAAATAACTTTCAAATCTTCACCTGTTTTAAGTGATCTACGGTGTTGAAAATTTGTCAGTGGGGTGAACTCCATAGAATTACTCTTCATTTGAGCTTATTGAGCTCTCATGATATTCATTCTATTGGACACATGTCTCTCTTAAATCTCCGTCGGCTATTTTTTTAAAAGTAATTTAAACGCTTCTTTACATAATGAGTTTTGAAATTATTTTGACATTCATAAATTTCCTTAATTCTTGTCTTTCAGTTTAATTAAATCCAATGTACACATTTCAAATCCACACCTCATCAACATTGTAAGTGAAAGGGAGCTAGAATCCAACTGAAACTACATGAAAACATGATCTTTGGATGTGAAAAAAATTTCCCGCTCTTCCGAGGTTAAGCTCCTCCACACACCAAAGTATGGCTCCAGGGTTATTTTGGGGAATGTTGGAGGACAGTGCTGTGGTCAGGAGAGATGTATGCCATGGGACAAAAGTGCTTTTGATGTTGAAATTGAATCTGAATGTTCCAAGACTATTTAAATAGGATGTTGGATACACACATGTCCTTTCTGACTCAGATCTGTTCCAGTTTTCTAGTTTCTGTGACTTATTTTAGAGAAAGCATTGCCTTGTTACTTTTCCCTCTCCTGGTGGGTTTGACATGACCTTTTCCTTTCAAGTTCCACATCTCTGGTTTTGGGAGAATCGTACCTTCTCCACCTCCTGAGAACCCCTCTATTCCAGGTGCTGGATGGACCACCGGAGGTCAGTGATGAGCAGGAAGATCAGTGAGCCCTGTCAATTTCAGAGAGTTAGACTTTACTAAAATAATTATACAAATAAACCCTTATTTACAAATTGAGGTAAATTCTCTGAAAGAAAAAAAATTCAGTAAGAATGCATGTTCAACGCTAGTTGGTTTTGCTCAGTGGATAGAGCATTGGCCTGTGGACTGAAGGATCTTATATTCAATTCTAGTCAAAGGCACATGTCAAGGCTGGCTCGATCCCCAGTAGGGGGTATGTAAGAAGCAGCCAATCAATGATTTTCATCATTGATGTTTCTACCTCTCTCTTCCTCTCTGAAATCAATAAAAATATGTATTTTTAAAAAAGTGTATGTTAAGAAATTTTGGACCAGTCAGAGAGTTCAAAACAGGATGCCTGTAAAATAATTTATTTACAGAGGAATGACGTGTGAGGAAGTGTTTACTAAGTTAAGTAGTCTTCTTAAATGCTTTCATAAATACTTCCTGAATTCTCTTCAGAGACCTGTGTCTCCTTTTGGTTATCTCTACGCTTCTCTATTCACCAGAAGACACACTGTTTCCCCTCATTATCTGCCTATGGACCTGGGGAGTTTTACAAAGCTATCCAACACTTTTTAAAGCACAGAGTATGTGCTAACCTCAACTGGTGAGTGTCCTCTTTGAAGAGAGATATTTAATTTTAAGGAAATATAGTTCTTTTCTTCCTTTGCCTTAATAGCCACTTGGAAATCTTAAAAGATAGTTGCATGTGTGTTCAAGTGGAAGAACATTTCAGAATAGACATGCAACTGATTTATGCCTGGCACCTAAGATTCTATGAAGTGTCCCAGGGAAGAGAAGAGGCTCCGGAGTGAAGGAGGTAAACCTAAGTGTTTACTCCCCTGGGGAAATGGGTCCTGATAACTTAAAGCAAACATCTCAGCATCTGCACTGATTGAATACTTGCTGTGTGCTGGGCATCCTTTTATGGGCTCTCTATAGATTACTATCCCAGTTCCTCACAATAGGCTTCTGGAGTGTCCTCATTGTATGGGAAGGGAACTGAAATGCAAAGAGGACGGGAATCATAACCACTGTCGCAAAGGAAGAGAGAACTAAACTAAACTCACGAGTTCTGATTCTGTCGTCCACACTGGGAACTAGTGAGGTGTTACACCTGGTTCACAACTATCCTGGTATATTCAATTCCCATCATGGTGAATGTAATGGCACTTCCTAATTTTGATCTTCTAGTTACTGTTCCCTTCATAAAAATAAGTGGAAAACACAATACTTTTTGTATATCAACGATTTTTGCCTCATATTTTGTAGGATATATATATATATATATATATATATATATATAGCAATAAGATGGATATGAATGCCTATACAAAGACGGGTGATGGCTAGATTCTGAGAAATGTATCATTATATGTTTTTTAAAATTCAAAAATAGTAACTTGATTTCCATTTGAAACTCTTGACAATTTTAATATCAATAATATGTACTCGAACATTCCAAATAATTAAGGAAATACCTTTAACAGCTGGAAGCTCTAATTGATAAAGTTAAGAATTTAAATCACACGCTTCACCTTCCCCAAAAGTCTTTGTTCAGGGTATGCGCCGCTAGGAGACTATAACGCATAACATTAAAACATTTGTTGCAATATCTTTGTAAAAATTTTTTTAAAACCCTGTTAATTTTTGCATTGAAATCTTTTGACATGACTCATAGTGTTATGATAAAAAAAAACTTAATCATTTCAAATATTACCCAAACAATGTTAACCTAAGACACATGGCACAAGTTATTAGCAAAAGGAAGTCTGATTGGTTGTGTGTTAAAGCATATAAAGATGTTTGCACAGTGTCTGAAAACAAATGTTAGTCAAGGTCATTTCTCCCTGCAAACAGTGGGTTCTGTACAGTTGATATGATTGTTAATTTCACCATGAATCCCAATCTCTACATAGTACACATCTACAAATGTGTGTGTGTGTGTGTGTGTGTGTTCTTTGAAGCTGTTGGGAATCCTTAGGGCAGAGCATATAATTTCTATGATTCATGTATCTCTATGAAGAGGGTGATGCACCACTTC